CGTTGGGGTCTGGGTTGGGAAAGAAGAAATGGGTTTTTTTTCTCCTTAATTTGGAAAGAAAATAGTTAACAAAGGGAAAAAACAAAAAAAAATTCAGATGAATTTTGTAGTTTTCACGCGCCTCTTTTATGTATAATACACGCGTGTGACACATGGCAAAAGAGGTGTGTAATTGACATACTTTTAAAAGTTTTTGTGTGTAATACCATTCCCGTGTTTAATAGGTGTGTAAGAGGGATTTGAGTACAAGGTCGATGGGTAAACTATGTATTTTGCTTATTAACAACGCAATGAGATTTGATGCATGCATTAGCTTAGTTAAAGACAAAATTGTCCTTCAAAATTTATGCTTAATTATAATATGTTATTATATTAATGCAAGTTTGTAATAATCCAAATAGTGAGAAATAAAATTATATCCCTAGTAAATACTTAGTATTTTTCTTTTTTATAAATAAATATTCAGTTCTATACTACAATATAGGTAGACAAACCAAATAATTTTTTTTAAAATTTTTTTGTATAAAAACATTCTTCAACATATGTTTCTTTAAAAAGATAGAGTGGTGGACTGGTTTGAGGGCATTTTTGTAAACAAACAATTCATTTGGAAATTTTGCTATGCTTTAATACATCAAACCAAATAATGGATAAGAAATATGTCGGCATAACTAATGCCAGCATAACTAATACCAGCATAACTAATACCAGCATTACTAATACACAATATTCAACATTATTCTTATGTACCCTACCAAACGACCCCTTAGTGTCCTACGAATATTGTGCATTATATTTTATGTTATAGCTAAGTCATACATAAGGGATTTCAACTTTTTCCCCTTGTGAATTCAAAATTATGTCAAGTGTTATGTGCAAGGTTTTGAGAGAGCTAATTTTCTATAATGGTTTGGTTCGAGCCAACTCGGCTTACCTCAATTTTTCCAAAGGGCTCACACATGAATCCAGTGCCTACAATGGTTTAAATAGATTGAACTAAACTATTTTTTATTTCAATTGTGATTTGAACTTTGGTTTACCATATGTTCTTTCCTCACGTCATCAATCCTTAGGTTACAACCTTGGATACATAGAAAGCTACTTTTAAGAATCAAGTATTAGTGTAAACTTATGGCATCTAGTTATAGTTTGCGCCTTGAGGTTGTAAAAATTCATGGGAGCCCTATTTGGTCACCTATATTTAATATGTATCCACTTTTTTTTTTGGTAATTGTGTATCCACTTTTTAAAAAAAGTTTACTTGATACTCAACTTTTAGATAACATAAAATATCCATGCTTTTCTCTTCTGCTTTGTTGCTGCTTTTTTCTTCTCTTTATTCATGCTACATGTATACAGGAGCTTCGCTGCTACTATTTTTCCCCACTGTATGCATGTTCCATATACCTAGGAGCCGTTTGATTTCTTCTTCTTAGTTGCAAAATACCTTTTTAGGTTGTGCTTAGGGTTTTTTCTTCTTCTTAGTTGCAAAATGAGTTTGTTAGACTTGTTGTTGTTTTGATAATTTGATAAGTGGGATTTGTTCTTTGTGATATTTGAAAGTTATGTTTCAAATTTGAGCTCATTTGAAGTAGAGAGAATTGAATCGTGTGTTGGATTGTGAAATTCGAAGAACGCGTTTATTTTTCAGAACCTAAGATTCGATTTCTGAAGTTGCATTGAAGAGATAGAACTACTTAAGATTCGAAGTTTCTGAAATTGCATTTGAAATATAGAGGGTGTTTGGATTGGCTTTTTAAGCTGGTCAAATAAGCTTTTAAGCTCTTTTTAGCTTTCAAGTTGTGTCTATTTCGAGAATCAGTTTGGATTCATGCCGGGGCGATCGACTACGGAAGCCATTCATCCGGTGAGGAGATTGGTAGAGCAGTATAAGGAGAGAAACAAAGGACTTACACATGGTGTTTATAGACCTAGAAAAGGCGTACGATAAAATCACGGGGGAGGATCTGTGGAGATGTTTGAAGGTTAGCGGCGTTCCGGTAGTATACACTATGGTAATCAAGCACATATATGATGGTGCTAAGACTCGGGTGAGGAGAATAGGAGGTAAATCGGATCACCTTCTAGTAGTGATGGGGTTGCACCAGGGATCGGCTCTTAGCCCGTTCCTATTTGCTATGGCAATATATGTGCTGACGCAGCACATTCAAGGGGAGGTGCCATGGTGCATGTTATTTGCCGATGACATAGTGATGATTGATAAGACAAGAGGCGGGGTTAACGCGAGGCTGGAGGTCTGGATACAGATCCTAGAGTCTAAAGGTTTCAAGTTGAGCAGGACCAAAATGGAATACTTCGAGTGTAAGTTCAAAGACAAGACTCATAAAGCGGATGTGGATGTGAAGGTTGATACCTAAGTCATCTGAGGAGGGGTAGTTTCAAGTATCTCGGGTCTATAATCCAAGGTAACGAGGAGATTGATGATGAAGTCTCCCACCGTATTGGTACGGGGTGGATGAAATGGAGGCTTGCATCCGGTGTTTTGTGTGATAACAAGGTGCCACTAAGATTTAAAGGTAAGTTCTACAGAGTGGTGGTTAGACCTACTATGTTGTATGGGGCTGAGTGTTCGCCAGTCAAGAACTCCCATGTTCAGAGGATCAAAGTAGCATAAATGAGGATGCTGAGATTGATGTGTGGGCATATCACGAGAGATAAGATTACGAACGAAGTTATTCGGGACAAAGTGGGAGTGGCCCCATGGAGGACAAGATGCGAGAGTTGAGGCTGAGATGGTTCGGGCACGTGCAGAGGAGGAGTACGGAGGCTCCTGTTAGGAGGTGTGAGAAGTTGGCCGTGGCGGGGCTGATAAGGTGTAGAGGTAGGCCGAAGTATTGGGTAGAGGTAATCAAGTAGGAGAGGGCTCTACTTCAGCTCACTGAGGACATGACCCAGGATAGAAGGGTATGGAGGTCGAGGATTAAGGTAGTAGGCTAGTAGGTAGTTGATGATACTTTCTCTTTTACTTATTCTTTTATTGTTGGCGTAGTTGTTATTATTGTTGTTGTTGTTGTTGTCTTTTTTCCCTTTTCCTTATCGTCCTTTGTCTCCCTATTCTTTCTTTTTTCTTTCTCTTTCTTCTTCGTCTTCTTCTCTTCTCTCTCTTTTCACCTTTTCTTGAGCCGAGGGTCTATCAGAAACAACCTCTCTACCTCTCCATGTAGGGGTAAGGTCTGCATACACACTACCCTCCCTGGACCCCGCTTATGGGATTATACTAGGTATGTTGTTGTTGTTAGTATTTTGCAAAGTTAAACAATGCTTAAATAAGTTAAAAACTGCTAAAAACAAGCCAAAAGCAAGTAAGCTGGGTAATCCCAACTTATTGCTTTTTGGCTTAAAAGCTATTTATGTTGAAAAGCCACTTTTTTAAGCCAATCCAAACATGCTCATAGAAGAACTTAAGATTTAATTTATGAAGTTGCATTAAAGAAATAGAACTTCTTAAGATTCGAATTTTCTGAAGTTGCATTTGAAAGATAGAAGAACTTAAGATTTAATTTTTTGTAGTTGCATTAAATAGATAGAACTACTTAAGATTTGAATTTTCTGAAGTTGCATTTGAAAGATAAAAGAACTTAAGATTTGATTTTTGCAGTTGCATTGTAGAGAAAAACTACTACAGATCACGGTGGATAAATTCTGTAATTTTTTGTGTAATGTGGGTATAACTTCAGTAGCGGCCCAATATCAATAAACGTTGTGGCTTAAGGAAAGATATACAGAGATAGAGAGTCTGTGACGC